ACCTCGAGTACTGTGTTCAGTTTTGGGCCCCTCGCTACAAGAAGGACATCGAGGTGCTTGAGCGGGTCCAAAGAAGGGCGACGAAGCTGGTGAGGGGCCTGGAGAGCAAGTCCTATGAGGAGCGGCTGAGGGAGCTGGGCTTGTTCAGCCTGGAGAAGAGGAGGCTCAGGGGTGACCTTATTGCTCTATATAAGTACATTAAAGGAGGCTGTAGCGAGGTGGGGGTTGGCCTGTTCTCCCATGTGCCTGGTGACAGGACGAGGGGGAATGGGCTAAAGTTACGCCAGGGGAGTTTTAGGTTAGATGTTAGGAAGAATTTCTTTACTGAAAGGGTTGTTAGGCACTGGAACGGGCTGCCCAGGGAGGTGGTGGTGTCACCATCCCTGGAAGTCTTCAAAAGACGTTTAGATGTAGAGCTTAGGGATATGGTTTAGTGGGTACTGTTAGTGTTAGGTTAGAGGTTGGACTCGATGATCTTGAGGTCTCTTCCAACCTAGAGATTCTGTGATTCTGTGATTAAGATGAATGAGTTCCTGGGCTGATGGTACTATGTAAACCAATACTGACTGTAGTGATGAACATTCAGCCCAAGTGTAGAAAGCCTGGTTTTGTTATAGTGTGAGACTTCTATTGCATTTATATGGGAATAGATGTGAAAGTAACACATCAGGATAGCTCCTGGTGTGAGATATAACACATAACAGCAATCCAACACTGTTGGTTGACAGTGAGATGTCTGATTTCAACTCTGGTTTTGAGGAACACCATGACAGTATTCATAGCATTTGTTCTACAAACAACATGGGTATGTATTTTAGAGTTACTAAATCTAGTTCAGAAACAATCTTTGCTCTTCAAAGCCTTTTAAGTGCTCTGGACAGAATTGTTGGAAAGGTACAGCAGATGTTTGTATTTCAGCCCTTGCTACTTATCTCAAACTGTAACTGATTCTTTGATGGAGACAAGTGCGTGTAAGGAACAAGGCAGCCATTGTTCTGTGCATGTCAGAGGTGGCCATCCAAAGCTGAATCGAGTCCAAGAAACCACCCAAAGTATTTTCATTAGTAAAATCACAGGGGCAAATTTTGCAGGTGTTGTTCTAACACATAGAAGAGAAAAACAAAGAAAAAAAAATCTCCACAAGTTTAAGTGATTATGATAGCATCACTTTAATCCAAACCAACATGATTCCCCTTCTAATTCAGTTCAGTTAGTTTCACAGTCTATTGTATACCCAGCTATGCCCAGCTATGATCTATAAATATAGAAATTGGCTACCTAAAGTAAGTATTTTTTTCCACTGTAGCCTGGGCAGAAGAAAGTGGACAATAATGATATTTCTCCTTGAACAACCACAACAAATTTGATCTTTACTTTTTAGGCAAGGGAAAGGAAAGATAGCTTTTACTCTGTGAAAATCCAACACTTCTGAGCAGTAAACTTACAGAGAGCCCAGATCAAGTCAGTGGTGTCTGGCAAGTTGGCTTCTGTCAGGAGAGGTGCCTGAAGACTGGAGGATAACCAATGTCACTCCGGTCTTCAAGAAGGGCAGGAAGGAGGATCCAGGAAACTACAAGCCAGTCAGTCTCACCTCTGTCCCTGGAAAGGTATTGGAGCAGCTTGTTCTGGAGGCCATCTCCAAGCAATTGGAAGAGAAGAATGTTATGAGGAGTAGTCAGCATGGATTCACCATGGGGAAGTCGTGCTTGACCAACTTTGTCACCTTGTATGATGGCATCACCATCATAGGTATAGGGTAGGTGGGGGGAGACGGTGGATGTCATCTACCTTGACTTTAGCAAGGCTTTTGATACTGTCTCCCATGACATCCTACTAGCTAAGCTGAGAAAGTGTGGGATAGAGGAATGGACAGTAAGGTGGGTTGAGAACTGGCTGACTGGCCGAGCTCAGAGGGTGGTGATCGGCGGTGCAGAGTCTGGTTGGAGGCCTGTGACTAGCGGTGTTCCACAGGGGTCGGTGCTGGGTCTGGTCTTGTTCTACATCTTCATCAACGACCTTAATGAGGGAATAGTGTCTGCCCTCAGCAAGTACACCGCTGACACAAAGCTGGGAGGAGTGGCTCAAACACCAGAAGGCTGTGCTGCCATTCAGCGAGACCTGGACTGGCTGGAGAGATGGGCAGGAAGAAACCAAATGAGGTTTAACAAGAGCAAGTGTAGAGTCCTGCACCTGGGAAGGAATAACCACATGTATCAGTACAGGCTGCGGGACGACCTGCTGGAGAGGAGCTCTGAGGAGAAGGACCTGGGGGTCCTGGTGGACGACAGGTTGACCATGAGCCAGCACTGTGCCCTTGTGGCCAAGAGGGCCAATGGGATCCTGCATGCATTAAAAGGATTGTGGCCAGCAGGTCAAGGGAGGTGATCCTCCCCCTCTACTCTGCCCTGGTCAGGCCTCACCTGGAGTACTGTGTCCAGTTCTGGGCTCTCTGCTACAAAGAAGACAGAGATCTCCTGGAAAGAGTCCAGCGGAGGGCCACAAAGATGATACGGGCCCGGAGCATCTTCCTTATGAGGAAAGGCTTAGAGACCTGGGTCTGTTCAGCCCTCAGAAGAGAAGACTGAGAGGGGATCTCCTCAGTGTGTATAAATACTTGAGGTGTGGGGGATAGAGGGATCTGGCCAACCTCTTTTCAGTGTTTTGTGGGGACAGGACAAGGAGCAATGGCCACAAGATGGAGCACAGAAAGTTCCGCACCAACATGTGAAAGAACTTCTTCATGGTGAGGGTGACGGAGCACTGGGACAGGCTGCCCAGGGAGGTTGAGGAGTCTCCTTCTCTGGAGATATTCAAGGCCCGTTTGGACGCCTACCTGGGCAGCCTGCTCTAGGGAACCTGCTCTGGCAGGGGGGTTGGACCTGATGATCTTTCGAGGTCCCTTCCATTCTATGGGGTCCCTGCAATTCTGTGATTCTGTGATTTCTGTGAAGATAAAGAGTGTTTACTGCAAAATGATCGAATTCCATTATTTTGTCCTTTTTGGTAATTCTGCTTTTTCTTGTAGTTCAGTAGATGACAAATTACTTGAATAGGCAGCACTTTCCAATAGCAGAACCACCCTGATCATTTTCAAGAGATAAAATATATTGAACTTCTGAACTTTGATAGTGGTTGAGTTTATACTTGGATTACATTTAAGAGTTTTATCGAGAATCCCCATATAAATAAATAAAGTTTAAACTTAAATGACCAGCACTGATTAAAATCCCTGTTTTACAGCTCTTGTTAACTGTTTTCAACAGCACCGCAGGACAACTTCACAGAAGAGCGTTGTATTACTCACAGATTTTCAGTAAACCCAGAAAAGCACTGGCTCTTGCTTGCATGTGGTACAGAAAGACATCTGCACCACATCAATAACCATACTATACAATCAGTGCACTTTTTCATTTGTGGATTTATGAGTAATGCCATACTCTAATTGCCCTCGAGGCCTAACCCTCTTATTTCCACTTGTGACCTGGGTTACGATCAGCCAGTCCGTCATTTCACATTTCCTCCTTGTCTTTCAGTGAAGCTTGCAAGCATTGCACTGCTTCTGAGTGTTTGTCCACATTGCCTGGCTGCATGTTTGGCGCTGCTTCAATGCCGCGCAATGTCTTCTGTAGTGCAACACAGAGACGAACCACATGCCAATTTTGTGGTGAGAATTCAGTGAGTCATGTCCAAATGGGTGTTCTTGGCTTTTATTGGCAGCTAATTACCTTTAAAGTCGATGCTAACAATTGAAACTCAGCTGGTTCTTTTTAATAAGGCTGTGTTAACAAATGAACCTATGTTTTCTGCTTGGCCTCTGAACTCTTACACCCTTACTTTTTCTGCTCCTTGCTGTCAGTATAATTACAGAGGCTACAGCTTGCAGATGTTGGATTGAGATTTAGTTATAGATAATTATCTGTGCTTAATAAGAAGACTGAATCCTCCTCAATCCAGTTTTAGAATTAAATATCATGTAAATACAGCATACTTTCATAATTATTAATCAGAACCATTTAAAAATCACTCCAAATTAAATGTTGCCCAAAGTGAATATGAAAGGACTGTTTCCTGTTACCTAGGGTGATTTTTTTCTGTGAAGCATGTGAAGTGCTTCGAGTAAAGTATGGTAGGAGACAGATAGGAATCACTGTGCCTAGCAGACTCTGGTGCAGGTCCTGGAGAACTGCCAGTGCCACGATGTCTCAGGAGGAGGCAGAAGAATCTGTCCAGTTTTCCTCTGGGTTATACAAAGAAAACAAAAGGACCAGGACTTCGCAATGTTGATTTTGTTACCTCCATTCATCACAGTCTGGAGCAGCTGGGGTCCCCCAAAATTCTCACCCAAAGCAAGTGCCTTCATGCTGGTAAAGCTGTGTATGTGCCACAGGGTACAGGGTTGGGGAGGGATAAAAGCTGAGCTGAAGAGGGTAGACAGTGCAGATGTATCTTGCTAATAAGCAAGTTGCAATGGGATAGTGAACACACCAGGCAGATTAAATCTTCGTTTTAAGCTATTAACATTTTGCTGCTAGTATGACAGCTTGTAGGAGCATCAGTCTTCTAAAACTTGTACTGTGCATCTGGTTAATCCAAGCACATTTTCATGTGCCCTTTCCTCACAGACAGATGTTTCCTGTTCTCAAACCCCAGTTTGAAGGGCTAAAATAAAAACGAAGTTGCCAGAATTTTGAGGATGGGGAGATAAGGCAATGAATTTCCTTAACCACTAAGAGACATCCTTAATCTCTTGAGGAATGGCCAAGCTTTTCCAGCTGAATTTAGAAAAAGAACAAAAACAACAAAATAAAAGCATGGTAGATGCCCATCCTGAAAATGTGAGCCCAAACTTCTAATGTTCAGCTAAAATTATAAGCAACTGAAAACGATGTCAGTGTATATATATAATTGCCATACATAATGACATCATGTAAAGGGCAATATCAGGTGGGATTACTGATAGGTGGGGATAACAACACTATAAAGGCTAAGAATTTTTATTGCTACATTTCTTGAAAACTATGGACCTTTTTTGTAGTCATGTCTTTTTTTAGCTTTCCTTCATTTTGGAAACAAAAGGCATAGGTGTGGCAAAATGACTGCAGCAGCTGCAGACACACCTTAACTGCAGAAGTACAGGTAATTATTTTTTCATGAATATTAGTCATATGACAGGAAAGAAAAAAGCGCTTTGTAATAAGCCCTAAAGCAACTGCTTCCATGTGGCAGTGGTAGGAACACCAAAAATAAATTAGCTTCCAATAGAAATACAATTTTGTGCACAAAGTTCTCTCTTATTCTGAAACATTTCAGAAGATGATTTTCTCTGTTCCTTATAGAATTCGCAGTGCTTCTTCCTGCAGTTAAGACAATAACCTTTGTGAGACACTTTGTGAGTTATTAGAAACTGAAAAATGCTATATACAAGTTGTGAAAATTTTAATGGTGTCATAGAAAAGAAACAAGTGCTCTCCTATTTTAAAATTAACATCAGTCTTTCCGAACTAGGCCTGTATTTCATTGACAATGTGTCACACATTTCAGCACATTCATTACTAAGGTGGGGAGTTTATTGTTCGTACAGACTAGGGCATACCTTGGAAAGGGAACGTGGAGTATAATTTCACACACATTGTCTTGATGGGCTGCTACTGTAAAATAGAGTTATTCTCACAACTTTTCAAGCAATCTACCTTCTATCTTAAGCTTTCTTTTAGATAAAATATGTCAGGGCTGATTTATCCCTGCCATAGATTGGTGGATTGACCTGAAAAGGAAGGGGAGAAGAAATGAAGTGTCTGCAAGTGCATTATGGATGGGCTAATGAGACATGTCTAGTTTAAGGTCATTACAGTTGCTCCTGCATGGAAGGGCAGTGCTTCAGAGAGTCTCTGAAGTCTATGGATGCAAATGAAGTTATGGATCCAGTCCTTTTGCTATAATTACATGGGAAACAGAAGTAAGACAATTGTAAGACACACTTGACCATGATTTATACAATATCAATCCCAAGGTATTATTTTGGGCCATCCAGAAGTTGCTGTAACTCATACCAGTTGCCAGTAAGATAATTTTGATAAATCAGGGTATGTCCCTAACACATGTATAAGAAACACACAGTCACAACTCTGTTGTAGTTCTTATACTGGGCTGGAGCCTACTAAGCCACTTCTGAGGAGGATTTTTCTGGGAGCCATGGCAGCTCTCATTTTGCCTCAAATGTTCTATTTCTGCAAAGATTTCCTGATTTGTTGTTTTTCACCATATTATCTCACATTCAATATTACCTTGAAGATGGGAGGAAACACAGCAAGTACTGATTGGGTTATACTGGGATATATCTCTATATATAGATAGATAGATAGGGCTGGGTTTTAGCCCCATAATTTATATATTTTAGGAGTACCTGCTTTCACTGTGCTCCCTGGGAACATGAGCAAAATTTATGACTAATGGTGGGGTGTCAGTCTTTTTTCATCCTAGGATTTGCTTTTGCACACTCAAGCAGCACATCTCTCATCCAGATGAATTTCAGTGCACTTTTGAGGACCAGTGGGAAAGGAAGGATAGGTGCAGCACTGTGTCACCAGCAGTACGGGATAAACACAATGTGACTTTAGCAGTGGTAGCGATGATCAGTGGTGTAGTGGAGGGATGACCTTGGGATCACCCTCAACCTCTGGTATGTCATGGTTTGCCTTCCCAAATTTTGTTTTCCTCAGTCATAAAATAAAAGAATATTCTTCTGCCCACCTTACCTTACTTTGTGCTGTGAAGTAGAAGCTGTTGACAGCACCAGTAACTAGTTCTACAAAGTGTTATTACTATACATATGCTTACATTTTTGGTGTGTAATTTTGTCATTTTGTAGTTCTTGTATACAGATCTACACAGAAGTTGGTGTCAATTAAAAGACAGAACAAATAAATATGACTCCTTTTTATTTTTTAGCATCAGGTTTGTTCATCTTGATTTTTTATGCTGCAAGACTTTTACCTAAAGGCTGTGGTGCATTTTCACGTAACTATATAAAGGTAAGACCACAAAATGCAAAAAAGAGACACACAGATCCTACATGTAGCAATAAGAAATCCATTGTGTGTGTTCCAAAATACAGATTCCTTGAAATAACAAGAATAGGTTTCTAGAAAAATAAGGAAAGAATTTGAAAGTCTAAATGGCACGATATATTTGCAGTACAGATGACACTAAAATATTTCATCTTTTCAGCCTCTAGGGGGGACTATGTTTTCAGCGAACCTGTCTGTGAAGGATTTTCTTAATCTGCAGCAGGCAGTTCAGACTGTTGCTAATGCTAGTTGGAGCGAGTCAAGTGATTCTTGATTTGTGTATGAGTTATTTCTGTAGGGAAAATAGTCTATGTCCGTAATGCCTTTAGTCCTAAAGGGCTAGTCTGAAGTCTCCGCTCTTGCTGCAGTCCACGGGCATTCTGCCTGCTACTGATTCACGACTGCAGGATTTGTTCCTATTAAAAAGCATTTATGTAGCTGAAAAAAAAAAAAAGAATAACGTTGGTGGAGAAATGTTGGATTTATAGCTATGGAAAGTACTGTAAGTGAACTAATGATGAGGTGGATTAAGTGACATTTTGAATTGGGATTAACGAGGAAATTCTCATGCATAACTTTTTGGCTCAGAAAAATAAATCACAGGCTGGGATTCTTCTTTATAAATTGCGTAAGGTGATGGGGAACGACTGAAACGTTCGTGACACTTGGGGCCTGCAGAAACATTGTGACTAAGGTTGAATGCAATTGCTCATGCAAGACAGGACCACATACCGTGGGCCAAATCTTTTTCCAAAAGCACTGAAATCAATCGACACTACTACTGCTAAATAGTACTGGCTCAATGCTTTTTTTCCCCCCTTACACTGGCCGTGCTTCTCCCACTTTTATTCATTCCCAGCAGTACTTTTACCTCACAAGGAGCAGCCAGTGTGAAGGGTGGCAGCCTTGTGATTTATGGGCTTACTATCTCTTCCATCATGTTTACACAGCTTACACTCAAATAAGACAGCCAGAAGAGTATGGAGCACACACGTAAAATGAAAAAGATATTCTGTTGGGGGAAAGGAGGGAATCAAAAGAGATCCTTCCAGATTTTGGTGCTGTAAACACATCTGTAGGGTCACCATAAAGCAGTGACTACAAAGGTCAGCATTTCAAAATGTGTCTTAAGAAAATGTTTTTGCAAGCTTTGTGGTGAAGATGGCTGGCATGTTGTATATTGTAACATTCTGCTTAATCTCCAGTATGTTATATGGAGTCATTTACAACAAAAAATGCCTGACATAACTTACGGTACAGGAACACACAAAACGAGCTTCACCAGGGTGGGTGTTTATGTAATTTTCAAGAACACTCTGAAGTTCAATTCAGTAATCAAACAAAACTACATTAGAGGCACATTTCTCAGGAAAGCTACCAATCTTCACATTTGTGACCTTTTTTTGTTTTTTAAATTTTACTGAGCTCCATCAGATACATGCTCCTAAAAAAAAAAAAAAAAAAAAAAAAAAAAAAAAAAAAAAGATATTTTTTAATGATTATTTCTGTGTATTGTATTATCTGGTGTTTTCATTCCACTTCCCAGTTGCAGTTGCATAAGCACTTACAGCTTTCTTTTCTTTTTAATCAAGGAACCTTAAAGGTGAGCAGCTGGTCACCCCAGGAGCCCTGGTTTCCCATTCATGGGCTGCACAGTGATGGCAGCAACAACTGTAAGTTTACACATACTGCCCTGACAACGACCTCTGTGCTGAACTAAACAAACCCCTTCTGTAAAGTGAGGAGCCGTTCACTCACCTTCCCAGCGCAAACCTGGCACTCGCTGAGTGATCAGAAAGCATCAAACCGCGCAGCCCTGGCTCCGGGTTTGAGGATGCGTACATAGAAAAATGTACAGAGAGACATCCTTTAGGATTTTGCTGTTGAAAAGCATCAGGTGTCCAAAAGCCTCTTTCACAAAAGACTTTGCATGCCTCACGCTTACATTGTTCCTTATTCCAGAACAGGAGTGTCCATTTTAAACGGACCGTGACAAAATATGATGCCTAGCAGCTTTACGATCGGTGAGGAGAGCTGAACGGGGATGCGTTTGATGTGCTCTGATCGGGCAGTGCTGTCAAGATAATCAAAAAAGTTAGTTTCCTTTTTTCTTTTTTCCCTCTGAAAAAACAATCTCAGAGCAACACTTGTCACCGGGGGAAATCTGCACTGCTTGTGGCACGAGCCACCGTGGGTGGGAAGGGACTCAAAACCGTGCCTGGGCTCTCGGGGGAGGGGGGGGGGGGCGGGGGGGAGGGGGGCACAGAAAGACCCCGAAGGGATGCAGGGAACAGCGGAGTGTGGGGTGGGGACACCCCAAAAGCTTCTCCCCTGTAGCAACCCCATCCATTCCCCTGCCCGCTGGGACCCACCCCTCGGTGAAAAGAGCCTCCCAGCGGCGAGCCCCCCCTGCACCTCGCACCCCCAAACCACCGCGGGGGTCCCGTGAAGGGTCTGCCCTACATCCCGGCCCCGTGTGCTCCCCACAGCCCGTCCCGGGGGCGAGGTGCGGGGCCCGGGGGGGTGGCGGCGGGCGGGGCCGGGGGGGCGGCGGGGCCGGCTCCTCCCTGCGCACAAACCCGGCGGCGCCGAGCCGGGCGTGCGGAGAAGCCGCGTTACTTAAGCGGGGAAGGGAGCAGCGGGGCAGGCAGCCCCGGCGAGGGGGAGGGAGGTGGATGGGAGAAAAAAATTAAAAGGAAAAAAAAAAAAAAATTGATAATAATAAAAGGGGAGAGCAGGCGAGGTGAAGCACGAATACTTTGAGGAAATGAGATGCTCCGTCCGTGACCCGCAGGCTGGGGCAGGTTGTTAGTCTCGCCACACACCTGAGAAATAAAGCACGACCGAACAAGGGCCAGGGGGTTGCGAGGGGGAGAGGAGAGGAGGGGAGGGTGGTGGCGAAAACTTTGCCGGAGTTGGGGTCGCCGCGGGGGGCGGGCGCGATGCCGCCCTGGCTGCTCGGCAGCCTCTGCTGCGTGCTGGCGGCGCTGGGCGGCGGCCCCGCGGAGGCGGCAGCGGACGAGGAGGAGGAGGAGAAGCTGATCCGGGTGCTGGTGCTGCTGCCGCAGGACGACGCCTACCTCTTCTCGCTGGGGCGGGTGCGGCCGGCCATCGAGTACGCGGTGCGGAGCCTGCGGGAGAGGAGCGGCGGCGGCGGCGGTGGCAGCGGGGGGCTCGGGCTGCCGCCCGGCTACGCCTTCCAGCTCACCTACGAGGACTCGGCGTGCGGCAACCGCGCCCTCTTCAGCCTGGTGGACATGGTGGCCCTGCAACGCCGCCGCCCCGACCTGCTGCTGGGGCCGGTGTGCGAGTACGCGGCGGCGCCGGTGGCGCGGCTGGCGGCCCATTGGGATGTGCCCATGCTGTCAGCCGGGGCGCTGGCGGCCGGCTTTGGGGTCAAGGGTGGCGAGTATTCGCACCTCACCCGTGTCGCCCCAGCCTACGCCAAGATGGGCGAGATGCTGCTGGCCCTCTTCCGCCACCACCAGTGGAGCCGCGCCACGCTGCTCTACAGCGACAGCAACCCCGAGCGCAGCTGCTACTTCACCATGGAAGGCGTCCATGTGGTCTTCCAGGAGGAGGCCTTCCACATGGCAGTGCACAGCTTCGACGAGACCAGCCGGCACCTCGACGTTGATGAAGTGGTCCGCGCACTGCAGGCCGGCGAGAGGGGTGAGTGGTGGTTGCGTGAGGCTGGGGGTGGGTTTGAGGGCTGTGTGATGCCTTGCCGGTGTGTTTTTTGGGGGGGATTGGGGTTGGGGATGGGTCACCAAGGGTCGTCTGGGAAGGGGTTGCATGAAGGATGCGTTGTGGACTGGGATCTGTGGTGGGGAAGCTTGGCCATGAGCATCCTGGGGCTGGGTGTGCACCAGAGTGGGGCCATCGGTAAGGCTTTGCCCCATGCAGGTCAATTAGCACTTTGCATCCCACAGCAGGGATGGAGGATCGCCCTCCAGGACTGCGCTGGGATGGTTTTGTGGCATGGTAAGAAATGAGCCTTCTGCTGGCAGTCCAGATTACCAGCACAGCCAAAATTGCCCACATCTGCCCACATTTGCCCAGCGAGTCTGTTGCTCATTCTGAGATACTTTTTTAAAGTGACTCTGGAAAGGTTTAAAGGCTGAGCAAATATGTGTTTTTTTTTTTCTCTCACCCCGCTGTATTTTGCTGTGGGGAGCCTTTTCCCCACTCCTGCAGTTAGAAGCCCCCTCGGTTAGTTCATAAATAACAAACCCACTTGGGGCTAGCTCTTGTTTCAGGGGATGTGTGAGTGCTAAACCTGTGAGCGTGTGCAGTAATATTGCCACCAACTGCTAGCAAAACACCGTGCAGATAAATGGCTTGTAAAACCTGCTGGAAAGTCACCCCTGTGCCGGATGAACCGGCTTTGCATCAGGAAGCAGTAAAATGCTCCAAGTACTTTGGGGCATATGAATTTGTAGTTAGATGTACTTGAAAGTGAGATCTTGTCAAATGATGTGTGGATACATGGACTCATCAAAAAGGTATTTTCTGCTAGAGGCTTTCACCAACTGTGGATTTCCGTAGTAAGTTATTGTAAGAAGGGAAGAGATGTATTCCAGAAGTCGACTGCAGGATCAACTCAAAGAAAGTCCTCAGGTGTTTTTCAACAGAGGCATAGATGTGAAAAATACTTTGCACAGCTTTTACATCCCCAGTTGCAGAATGCTAAGGTGGTAACAAAATGAAAACAGATAAAAGCTCACGCTGCATGGGACTGGCACAAATCACATTGCCATGCTGTAGGCTGCGGTGCTTTGACCGAGCAGTATTGTGCTGGTGCTGCAGTTACACTGCTGTGAAATCCTTAACCTGTGAGGTAACTGGGGTCTAACAATGTATGTATCCCTAATTCTCACTTTGTGGAAACACCGAAGCAGGTGCTTAAAATAGAGCCGTCCTAGTTAGTACCATTAGTGGAAATATGCTGAATGGAGAGAAAGAAATGTAGAAGTGCTAGGGGAAACAGCTATGTATGGAAAGATGCTTTTCTGGTTTTTTAATCAGCCTAACTTTTGTGCATGTGCTTGGCTTTCCCGATGCAAAGAATATAAGTGTGATTGTGGCGAGAACATATGAGTGTTTGCCCCCAGCCAAAGGGAGTTGTGAATGTGCTGTGGGAATGTGACTGATAGCTAAGGGCAACCCCCACTGTTCAGACCATGCTGACAGCCAAGGAAGAGAGGCTTGATTTCAGCCCAGGCTCAAATGCTTTGTTGAGCTGGGACCTTTGGTCTTGCCTTGTTCTGTGACTTGCAAACGAGTGAATAAAAGCAGCCTTCTGTGCCCAGTGGGGTCCCTTCACTCCATCTCACCTCCTAATTTGTCCTCTGGTTCATGCTGCTACTGCAAAATGCAGCAAGTGAGGCCCTTCTGCCTCCAGTGCTGTGTTTCTGGCTTTAAAGACTGACTGCACAGCTTGCCTTGCACGTCTCTCAGGGTCTGAGGGGTGGTCCTGCTGTTTACAACATCTTGCAGGCTGTCAAAATATTTTAAATGTCGTCTATCATGTGAAGAACACACGATGTGCCTTTGCTTACCAGATTAGGGCTTCGTTTCTTCTTGGGATTCTTAGGAAGGTGTCCCATGGGGCAGCAGGGCTGGTAAATAAGGTGACACTGTCCAAAGCACTTCATTTTTGTTTGCTTGGTTTTCTCAGCAGCTTTTAAGGGCTCCTGCCCTGCGCCCTTTCCATTTTCACTGCTGCTGGGGGTTGCACCTGAATGACGGGGATTTCTTGACCCGCCCTGAGTAAGAACAAGCTTTAGAATGGATATGGGCTATTTGCTCAAGACCCTTCCAGGGCTGAGAAAGAAGTTGCACCATCAGTGGGCCCGTGGGGGGCCCAGGCTCTGTGCCTTATTCCCAGGGCAGAGGCTGGCCCCGTGGGTTAGGTTGTGTCAGGCTCAGGGATTGCATTGGGTTTTTGGGGTGCCAACAGGCAGGGGCACACCCAGCCACCCACTGTGTTTGCCAGCAGGTGCCTGTCCAGGCACTGGAATGAGTTCAGATGTCTCAGAGTCATAACAAAATCATGAGGAAAAATACGATGATAAAAGTTAACTGCTTGTCTTTACTGAATGTCATTAGTAGCTCAAACTCACTTGCGGGCTCGGTCCCCCATGCTGTAGACTTGATGCTGTAGGCTCAGGTTAGCCACAATGGCCACAAACCCAGCACTGTGCTGAAACATGTTCTGCACGAGCATAGTCCGAGGTACTCACTTTGCTAAGAACTTACTCCTCTAACTGGAATTAAACTAAGTATTTGCAGGGTGAGTCAATAAATGCAGAATATTAGTATTAAAATGACCGTGTTCTGTGTGTATTGTGCTGGAGGGAGACCGCTTTATATCTGTGTGTATACAATAGCAAGGCATAGATGCTGATTAAATAAACGTTAATTTAGATATCTGAAAGATTGTGAGAGACTTGCCCTTAGCTTATTTGCTTAAAAATCTTGAAATATATAATCTTTGCTCTCCTGCTGGGTTAAAAACCACATCCAGATAGTTAATATTACTTCCCTTACATTCCTTTAGAGGCTTACAAAATATGACTTAACATATTTTAAAATAGTTTTTTTCCCCCACTCTTTCTTATTCCATTTGCTCAAGATCTTTTACTAGTGCTGTGGGAGTCTCTTTGATTCCATCTACAGATTACAGTTTTATGATAGATGTGAATTATAAAGGCAAAGTCAAGGGGGAGTTCGGAGGGCAGCAAGGAAACATTTCAGAAGGAAATCTCTCACCTACACTGAAATTAGGAACAGCGAGACAAATTCATTCCTGATGTGTGTCTGGAAAAGATTTGATCCAAATTTTATTGTAAGAAATTCTTTCTTCTTTTCCTCCATGCTAATACACCTCACAATAGTCATGAAATATGCTTTGCTCTGCTGCTCTGGAAATTGTTACGTTGCTCTGCTGTAATCAGTAGGACAGAGCTGTGCATGGTATCACTCTCCTGGAGCATGGGGATGTACCGAACGTGATTCAGCCCTGTGGTGCATCTGGAATTTTACGCCTGTCATGGCACCCAGTCAGAAAAGCGATGGGAGAAGATTCATTGTCTGAGAAGAAAGGCCAAACGGGCCAAATTTTCATTTCTTATAATAGCAAACACTTCTAACCAGAAAAGCTGAATGTGGTTTTGATTCAGTTTTATTGTTGGGGTGAAAACATTTGCATTCGTTATTGTAGTTTTTGAGCCCTGCTATGCGTGACGGCATTCTTGGAAATGTGCATGCCGTTGGTTTCAGATCATCGTCCCAACAAGTTCTCTTATGACCTTGCTATAGGGTATAGCCACAAAGCATGCACTGACACAATACTTTGCAGTATTCTGTTGTCAGTAGCTTCATGCTGATAGTTCTGTGAATGCATATAAAAGTTTATGGCATAACATGCTTAGGGTAGGAGGTGTCTCCCCGTTGCTGAAGACCTCGCCAGAATTTCTGCTTTCTTTTTGCAGGAAGAATGTGTGAGAGGGGTATAGTTTCCCCTTCCCAGCAGGTTGGGGAAGTGATTTCTCAATCAGCATCATTAATCTAATAAAGAAAAACACTTTAGGGGTATGTTGATGTATGAAGAGATCGAGGACAGACCAGCCCGCTGGAGTAGAGGTGTTTGGGCAGTGCTGGGCTGGGTGGAGAGCAGTCCTCTGCTCTAATTTCTCAAGCTCCGGCTGCAAAATCTTTCAGGGTGGGACACAGTGAATTTAGCTTGAATGCTCAGGTGCTGGGCAGGGTTGCCTAAATGTCTTCTTACCCCTGAAGATCACTGGCAGCCCTTTGGGCACCTGATAACACTACGTAAGGTTGTGACTGAATCGTCTCCATGCCCATCTCTGTTCCTTCCAGGCAGAAAGGGAGCTGGGGACTGGTGGTGACATCCAAGAGGTTTGTCACAGCTTTTCTCCCATGGGCTTGTGGCAGTGGGGATCACAGCACCTGCACGGAGCACACCTGTGGGGGCTTGTAGGCACCCTGTTCAGCTTCTGATCTGTCCTAAACGAGGCTCTGTGGTATTTAATCTTGTAACCACATTTAATCTTCACACCCAAAAAGCAACACTCATTTTTCCATTTGTAGCTGGCTGAACATTGTGTCCTATCAAAGGTGTTTGCAAAGGCTCATTATATAGTTGTTGGAGATAGTTGTGTCCTGGACAGATTTGTACCATTGTCCCTAGAAGCTGTCTTGGGATGAATCAGCTGCAGTGAATCTTGCAGCAAATCAGCTGCAGAGATGCTGCTATATGGTAACTGTAGAGAGGCAATGAATTCTATACTTGATACCCAAATTTTGTGTAGCTGAAGTGTAGGTAAGATGAATCTACCCCCAAATATTTCAATAGAATGGAAATCAAAATGGTAATATCCCTGTATCATCTCAATTCTCCACCTTCAGATCATCCTATGCACCACTTGAAGTATAACTGTGGTTTGTGGTAGCAATCAGTTCTACCAATACATGAAGTTGAGGAAACTTGAGGCTAGAACTTAACGCATGTTGCAGGAGTAAGGAAAAAAAGATCACGTATAGGCTCTGTAATTATATTCAGAGGAGACAGGAGTAAAAAGTCAATCTGTGTTTGGTACCTGTCTTCTGTGAGCGGTTTGGGAAATCAGCTTTCGTTGTTGTTTGCGCTGTCACATTTGTTGCAACATTGGGAGGACAGCTCGGGTCATTGTCTTTGGCAGCATTCATGATTAACAATCTGTTCCATAAAGTTCTTGAACTGTTCCTTATCTGTGTTTTCCATTTTCTTCCACCAGTTGTAATCATGTGTGCCAGCGGTGACACAATCAGGAACATCATGTTGGCTGCTCATCGGCATGGAATGACCAATGGGGACTACGCTTTCTTCAATATTGAACTCTTCAACAGCTCGTCATATGGTAATGTTTTTCCTGCCCAAGTATGTTGCAAAGTCTTCTGTAAACCCAGTAATATTTTTAGATTTCTTAGTCTCAAAATACGCTGTTCTGAATTCCAGAATACACTGCTGTCTCCCCATCATTGCGATTACCTTCCACTTAGGTTATGACACTGCAGGAAATAAAAGGGACCTGGCAGCTCTTGTTGCCACTGAGTGGATCATGGGATACCAAATAATGGTTTTAAACTAAAGTGGGTAGATTTAGCTTAGACATTAGGAGGAAATTCTTCACTCAGAGGTGGTGAGGCCCTGGCACAGGCTGCCCAGAGGAGCCGTGGCTGCCCCATCTCCGGCAGTGCTCAAGGCCAGGCTGGATGGGGCTTTGGACAAACTGGGCTGGTGGGAGGTGTCCCTGCCCATGGCAGGGGGTTGGAACTGGGTGGTCTTTAAGGTCCCTTTCATCCCAAACCTAAGAAATCCACTATAGGTGTTAGTTACTTGTAGGGGGAGCAGCACTGGACAGGCATGTTAGCATCCCAGCGTTGGCACCCCATGCTGCAGCGTGTGCGCGCTCAGCTCCAGCCTGGTGACCACCAGATCTCAGAGCAGGGGCACTCCTGGCTGTGGTCCTGGTGGGCTGTGGTCCATGAGCCACCTGAGAGGAGGCAGGAGCTGTAGGCAGCTGCAAGGCCTGGGTCTCCAGAAGTCACCAAATAAACCAGTCAAGCTTCTGAACTTCAGCTTTTGATTGCAAACTGTATATGCAAAACTGTCCAGCACTGTTCTATTTAAGGGAAAGCACAGACAGTCCAAATGTACTAGATTAGGGTTTATTGAGTGGCTGATTTCACCCCAAGTAAATACGATAAGATTTGTCAAGTTAAAACCTAACTTAAAAATGTAAGTTGAATACGTTTGCTTTTTGAAATATACCTATGTTTAGTTACATCTGATGCTGTGGCAGTTCATGGTAGGGGCTAAATCTACTCTCAGCTGGTATAACTGTCTCAGTTAAATTGAAGGTGAAGCAGTGGGTTTACTGACAGAGTTTTACAGACTGAAGCGGGAGAAATCCTGCCTGGGAACTAGGTTTAGCTGAAGTTGCCAAAGTAGATTTTGAATGGAGCAGCCTCTTTTGCAGGTGCATAAAAAATAGTTACCCCCACAGCAGGCTGCCTTAACTAACCCAGTACGATAACAAATTATTTTCAAATTGAAAACCAAGTGGGAGTTGAGAAAGAAGGAAAATTTTTCTTTCAAGCCTCAAAAAGCTGATGAACAAAAATGACTGAATTCACAAAAGGATGATATATTTTGTTTAATGAATCATTTAATTGCAAGTTAAATTCTTTTACATAAACTGTTATCCATCTACCGCCTCTGAGATTATTTTACAATAAACAGTGCTGTTTGTTGAAAAGCTCTATAATGAGCACATGTAACTGTTTAAATTCAAAGATACAGATAGGTACAGAAGTAAAGATACCCATACATGTGTCTAAGTTAGCTGAAGAAGTGCCAAGTTCTTCCAGCTAATAAGGAAATTACTTAAATAACTGAAAGATAAAACTGCAGAGCACAATCAAAGCCAATGGCTCAAATCAAGGTTTTCTGTTTGCTGACTGAAATTCAGTGTGACTTCATCCCCGGTAGCATAAGTGAAGCCATTTGGCGTTGCAGCCCTAATCGGGACCATGCAAAAAGCTGAATCCATATCGGCAGTCACATAACTCTGAAGTTTCAGCCCATTCATAGACCATGGGAGCTTTGCAGACATGATTTTACTTGTGCCTAGAAACCACTGATCAAATAACCCCTCTGGCTGCCGTTGGTGCTTTGTTACCACTGCACTGCTGCTGCATTTCATCTCACAGAGTAAAAATGCATCAAAAGTGATTCATCTGGCCCCAAGTACAAGTCTGCTCGTGAGCTGGGCACCCTTTGGGGTCACAAGAGAGAATTAGGCACCCCCAAACAGTGATTCACCTCATCCTTAGGTGTCTGAAATGGCCCAGGTGAATTATTCCCTAAAACTGATGGTTTCCTTGCCTTGGCTGAAGTGAGCAGGGTCGGTGGCTGGGCTGCAGAGAAGGGGAAACACAGGAGCTGGCTGGGACAGGTGATTCCTATAGTCCTCTTTGAGCAGGTGATGCTCCTGTAAGACCAGGAGATAGGCTGCTACATTTATGTGAAGGCTTTTGCATTTCAGAACAGTGCTTGCTAGGAGGCAGCATTTTAAGCCCCCAGATCAGCATCCTGCCCCCAGGGAACCCTGGCAGTGTGGCCAGTGCAGTTGCATGGGGGTCTCAGCATGATCCTGCTTTGTATGGCAGGTAGCACAGCCTGCCTGTAGCTTTTCCAAGAGATAAATGACAACTGTCTGCCTCCTGTCTGTGTTGTTAGAAAGTGCATTTTCCTGATGTTTATAAGTAGCAATTCTTTTAAAACAATTTTTCTGTTCTGTGCTTTTTTTTGTGGATGTTTCCCACGAGGATCAAAATGACTGTTAGAAACTGACTTCTGTGCAGGTGGTCATCACATGTGGAAAGCAAACATAAAAGAGAAATGCAGAGAAATTCCACCTAAATTCCTTGTTCAGAGTGCTGGGAGATACAAGAATTATAAGAGGCACAAAAACTAAAAGTGGCTGTGATAAACAAATTGGCACTTTCCCTTCAAATTCAGATGACCGTATTGCAGTTTGTTGTTGCCCTCTGTTCTGAATATTTTTAATTTTTCAGAAGAGTAGACATATTAAATGCCAAGGCAGCAATAATTGCAGAAAAGTGCTGTGGCAAGACTACATCCCACAAAATAATCCATGAAGGAATTTAAATATGGAAATTATTCTAGGAACTCTGTTATGCAAGTGTAGCTTCCCTGTTCCCTGTCAGTATTTTTAAAAATAAATATGTATAATGTCTAGGACAGAAACTTACTCAAATTCCACCAGCACTATCTTTTTTTTTCTTTTGTAATCCCACTCTTTTTAGCCATCTGCTCCTGTAAATGCAAGACATAGCAAACTCCTCCATGTAACAATCGCTGCAGTACATCTTAAATGCTGTACCTCTGAAAAGCAGGTATGCAGCTGGGCTGAGGCTTTTCAGCTTCAAGACTCCAGTAGAGCTTTTCTGTATCTTCCCATTGTTATTTATTTATTTATTTATTTATTTATTTATTTATTTCTCTAAAAAGGACAGAGTGCAGGCATGGAACAATAGCAGACATTGCTACCTCTGAGGGCAAAATCATGCTGCACGATGCTACTTGCTGTCTGGTGTTTCCACCAAGCCTGATGAATGGATTCCTGGTATAACTGATTTTAACCAGCTAAACTTCGGGTTTGGAAATATATCTCTAAACCAAGGCAGACCAATCTAGACCTTCCTGTGCCTCCTTCCTTGTGTTGAGGGTACCGGGAGCTGATATCAACAAGAGGAAAGACTTGCTCTTCTGAGAAGTACAGGTCCTTCAATGCTTCCTCTGTACTCTCTGAGGAAGGAGAGCAATTTTTCAATTGAATATTTTTTTTCTTTAAAAAAAAATAATAAATGAGGAGGACCTGGAGAGTCTTGTTCATGCATTTGCTCTTCCACAGGCACCCAGTGCAGCCTGTAGTGCTGTGCAAGCAGCACTGAGAGTTTCGTGCCTGAACTCTGTTGCCATTAGTATCTTTGCTTCCAAAGCAGTCACTTTTCTTGGTCCAAACAGCACCATGGTCCTCTAACCATGCAGAGCAAACATATCCACTGTCATTTCAGGGTCCTGTGTGCCTTCCAGTCACACGTGGGAGCTTGGTATTAGTTTTTGTCATGGCTCATTTAGCCATGGCAGGGAATTCCTTGCTGTTCCAAAAATAAAATGACTATCTAGCTTTTAATTATTTGTTGGTATTTAAAAGCACATTGCTTAGGGCTATTGTTGTTCTCTGTAGGTCTCTCTTGTTTATTGTTTATGGAAAATAGCACAAAATCTGATCTAGGGTAACCTTTCCATTGATGTCCTGAAGCTATGGATCAGGATCTCAGGACCTGCTAGCGTCAGTGCCTGTTAGGCAGAAGGATTTCTCTGTTAACTAACAGCCTGTCAGCTGTCCTGCTTCTTAAATTCTGATTACTTTACTGGTGGTCTGAGTTAAATCATGCCCCTTCTGTGACACAAACCATGTAAATACAGCATAGGTGTAGAATCCCATTTATTTGTAAGTGTTTCTTTTCCATTAAGAGCAGGGCTGGTCTGGCAGCCACTGCACACATGGTTTTCTCCTCGACCGCAGTGGGAGAGCTGTGGGAGAAGTAGCTACACCATCTGCCTCCCATTCAGGGTGATGATCATACTATTGACTTTACTGGTGCCTTTCTGACTGCCCAGGACCGAAGAGTGCTGCCAATGGGATGATATGAAATAAAAACTCTGTGGTCAGGTCCTCCCTCACTTGTTGTAACTTAAATATCTGTGTGTTCAGGATCTGGCTTGTTTTTTCGCTCTGAGATGTCTTCTCATGCTTAGACTTCAGCCCACCCTTTAAAAATAAGCAAGCACAGCATGGGAGTAAAGTTGTCTTTCTGTTTGCACATTTACTTCCCACCAGCTGTTCCTCACTGCCTGGTTTCCATCTCTTTCTGGAGCAGGTTCTGTTCTCCCTCGTACTGTGCCATCTCCTCACAGTGCAGGAGAGGGGACTTTTGGGTTGAAAAAGGAAGGTGGTGCTGTAGTGGCACCTAATTTGGAGTTCGAAATAAGCTTTTTTTTTTTTTTTTTTTCACTTAGGAAATGGCTCTTGGAGGAGAGGAGACAAACATGACCTTGAAGCAAAGAAGGCATACTCATACCTCCAAACCATCACTCTGCTGAGGACCGTGAAGCCTGAGTTTGAGAAATTTTCCCTGGAGGTGAAAAGTTCTGTTCAGAAGCAAGGTCTGCATGAGGATGATTATGTAAGTATTTAACAACAGGCTTCAGGTATTAACATCTTTTTAAAAAACACTCTCCAAATTAAAGCAAAAGTGAGCCCTCCTCAGGACAGAAACACCCAGGTTCAGTTGTAAAAACCCACTCTTGTCTATACAATCTGTTTTTTCCTTTTTTTTTTTTTTGGGGGGGGGGGGGTAAAGCAAATAGAAAGTACAAGAGGTATGTTTAGGTCTGTGCACCATCATCCAAGTACTTCCCTGACTGTCAGCCCTTCCCTATGATAGGGTGTAAGCCTTCCAAATACACTAAGAAAGAGAAGGTGCTTGAAGAGAGTTTGATCCATTTTAGCCATAGGATATGAGGGCTGTAATACAAAGAGTTCCATAGGAATAATGACTGTCAGGGGAAGAACTTAAATCTCTCGCAGTCAAGAGCGTGAGACAAAACTTTCCTTTTTGCCTACAAAGAGAGGAATACTGAACCAGTGAAGACAAGAAATTTTGGCTTCATAGACTAAGGCAGTATATTATGTTGTTTTTCAAGCAAATTCAGGTGTTGCAGTGAAATAGACCATGAAATAAGATGCTCCAGCAAGGCTAAATTGGCTTGAAAGATATTACCTTAGCTGAAAGAAAAAAAAGAAAAGAAAAGTGAGTCATTCGGAGCATCTCCTTTAATTTCCTAAAGAAAGATTTGGGGAAATTTATGCCCTAAACTCAAGTAAGCAACCCAAACCTCTCATTTGATTGCTCCCACTTAGGCACTTACCTCAGCTCCTTACTTTAAGCTTTGTCTCCACCACATGGAGGTATCATCTTCTAGTTCAAAGCAAAAACATGGCTATATTTTATTTAAATATTCTAATTAGAGTGTAATGCTGAGTCATGTTGGTGACTTGTATTTTTATTCTGGAGCTTTGCCTTGAGTTGAAAGAGAAACTCTAACTGGCACAGTCAAGGTGCTGCTCTCTGAAGAACCTGCTAAATGAGTTTTGAACAAGGCATGGGACTAATTTGTGTTGTTCTACCCTTTCCCTCTATGTGCCCTTTTGCCGATATCACTTAACAAGACATGTACCTTGATAAACTACTGCCTTTTCTTGGTTCTTGGCTGGGGAGAAGTGCAAATATGAGTAGCAAAGATCCAGGTACACCCCCAGAGAGTTTCAGTCTTAGGGTTTTGAGGGATTTTTAGTCCAGGCAATGCGATGTTTTCACAGATGAGAGAAGTCTTAACCTGTGGAGAGTTCAGGATGCCTTCTGCCCAGCTCCTGGGTGTTGGTCTGTGTTTGGGAGGACAATCTGGAGCAGGGAGTGGGGAAGATTTGCTGTCCTTAAGCATGGGGACCCACTGCAAACCATACACCAGTTTAGCATAGATAAGGACACTGGACAAATATAAACACTGTTATGGTCAAGCAGAAGTACATCCATGAGAAAGTAAATCCCCCAGTGCCACTGGGTGGAGATTTTTCAGGTGTTTTTTTTGTTTGTTTGTTTGTTTGTTTTTTGAGGATACTTCTTGAATGCCCATGTACTTGCTGCCAGAAGTCCTTTTTCCTCAGTTCATGGTTCCTTTTGCAATCAGATGACTGTGCTGGTGGTGCTCTTGGCTGTCCCAGGGCAGCTGCCGGGGAGCCTGGCTCCCTACTGTCTCATTCTCAGCCTTTTTCTGTCTGGCTCTGTGGGCTGCCTGCCCGTATATCCTCTTCCCACCTGGAATCCAGAGTCTTTTGCATTGTTCCAAGCACTCCAGTGCTCTTCACCCTTTGCCAGGGCCAGGCAGTGGCATGGGGCTACTGCCACTGACTCTTCTTTTCTTCCTGCTCTTCCCATCCCATCTGGCTTTCTGTACACATTCCAACCCATTCTCACTGGGGCAAAAGGAGGACTCATGATCTATCTATCTGCAGTTTCTTCTTGTCTGAAATAGCAGTTCTTGACTTGCCAGAAGCTCACGGGGTAGGCTGTAGGTATCTGGGGCCCCCATGTAGGAGCTTCATATCTTGGCTAGAAGGAAAAGAGGTTTGGTTTCAAGCACAGAATGTCCTAATATTATATGGATACTTAATGTGTATAGATCTCAGCAGATCCTCCCATACTTGCTTTTTTTAGAGCTTCGTAACATAGAGGGAAAATAAAACTTGTTTAAGAGGGCTAGACTTGGGCTGGGTGTAGCGAAAACATTAGGTGTGATACTTTATTAACAGTATGTGAATTTTATCAGACTTTGGAACTTCGGATGCAAAAGCATTTATGATGAATTTTGCGTTTCCCCAGTATGGTCAGTGAGAAGGAGATGGTTCTTATTCCCTTAACTGATTGTCTTACTGCCATGTTGAGAAGACAAACATTTCAGTGAAGTCTTCACGCTTAAGAAAAAAACTGATGGGGGGAAATAAAAAGCCAAACTGAGGACTAGTTCCTTCCTCTCAGAAAGATATGTGAATAGTGGACACCTCGTTAACAGTACTTGTTCTGGCAGCATGGGAGGAAAGTGGCAATATTAGCCTCAAAGCATGCTGTCCAGGGCTGTTTTCTCCAAGGGAAACTCACTGGGGAGAGGTCATTCAGCTGAGTGGGCTGGGAAGTGACAGAGACAGATTTTCTCTGCTGGATTCTGCTCCTAAAAACAAAACCTATGGGGAAAGACAGTCTGTGGTACAGTCTATCTCAAGTCCTATCAGCGGGTGTTGAAATATAATCCTCATCCTTTTCTGCAAGCTGTATCCCAAGAGAACAAATTCAGACAAATCTGGATTTGAAGCATTTAGCATTTCTGCTTCTCTGTGTGGATTTTTGCAGTGTTATGGGAAAATGGGGCCCTGGGTCTATGGCCTAAATTATCTCACAGTGACCCTAGCTCAAACAAGAGTAGTTAGCGCTGCCATTTTGTCCTGGCTTCTTGCCAGCATTAATCCTAAAGGCATTATTATCTACCAAAAAAGAATATCATAAAAATGGAAAATAACCAGATGACAGAAAGAAAGATAAGGGAGACAGAAAGGGCAAAGTCCTAAAACAGCAGCTGTCAAATTGCCGGACTGGAGAACACATGTGGCCCTTGGAGGACTATCAGGTCAAAGACTGCTGGTCATCCTCATCTCCAGCTGTGAAATCACACAGGAAGAAGTGGAAAAAAAAAAGTCAGGAAATGTATTCTGGATACATCTTTCCCATGTCAGAAATTGCTGTAATTTTTTGCAGGGATGTTACACTGTGATGACGGGGAAGGTAGAATAACGTGTACCTTGTAAGTGAGCAGGAAAGTGTGGAAAAAGCAATTTCTCTGACTTGCCAAGAAATCTCTGTTGTGAAGTAAAAAGCTTCATTAAACCTTCTAGCTAAACAGCAGTGAAATTTAAGAGATGCAGAGAGTGTCTGAGCAGGCATCTTACTTGTATTTAGGTAGGCAGTAATTGCAGAGGAGGGGACTAAAAACGTTGATGTTCACTGTCTGCAACATCCCATTGCATGATTTTTTTCAACAATCATCATGTTGTTCCTTAGAAAGCCTGACCATTTTATTTACTTCTTGGAGTCTGTCTTCTCTGATAAAATAGCTAAAGGTAGATATTTTTTTCCAAAAATCCATTCGGATTTGGGGTTCTGGCATAGGGACAAAAGGTTTTAACATTGTTACACAAACTGTAACATTTGTTCACTTCTCTAATGCTAACATGTTGCCAAGGTATTAACAGCAGCATATCTTGGTCTTTATAATGCAATTGAGACCCTTGGTTTAGTAGCAAAATATGGGACAAATTCCACATGCAGACCTATAACCTAGGTCAGGCAGCAATGGTAATTGCATGCTTTTACTCGACAGAGGAATTTGAAACTGTCTCTGAATTGGTGTGTGTGTAACTCCCAACAGATGCTCTAGTTAAAAATGTTTATGAATAAATAGCGTTTCAGTTAAAGTATATGCATAAGCCATTTTTATTAAATAATGCCGAACACTTAATGAATTGGTGGTAGGCTGCAGTTTGGAAGTTCTTAATGCACCTTCTGTTCTTGGCTCAGGCCTAGGATTCAATAAATGCTTTTTTTTATGTCTAACCCAGTATTCTGAGCTGGGATGATTTTACAGCCGGGGATATTTGCTCTTCTGAGGTTACAGACCACCCATGGCTTGTTTTTTCTTCTCATTTAAAAACTGAAAGTGCAACTAATTAAATATTTCTGCTGTGTTACCTACATGACAGCATTGTTCACTAGGTAAATGCGTGGGTTTTATCCCAGCCACAGTCCTTTTTGCAACACTGAAAATAGGCTGCAGAAGGGAACTAGAGCCCAGTTTGCCTGTAAAGTTATCTCAGTGAAAGAATGAGCAGAGAGTCAGAACTACACAGATTAATTAGATGAGCGAGATGCTACTACTTATTAGAAAGGGCAAGTCTGTTATTTTTAATGTTTTCAGCCTTCTGAAATGAGAAATGGTCACCATCAGAGCAACTGTTCAAGCGCCAACAGCTCACTACAAAAGCTACGTGGGAGGTAGCTGTGCTCATAAAGTTTATCATCTCGTCCATTACATCCGTGCCAGACTCTTCCCCGTGTGTATTCCTTACGTCAGCCTTTTAATTAGGATTGTACACCAGCTAAGATAAGGGTTGGGAGAAGCAAGCAATTCAGTCATGGCACTGAGAGAGATGGTAAAAATGTAACGTATTCAACAGTGTATGTCCCACTTGTATTTTTCAGGCATAGCCAGGCAAGATTAATGACAGGCAAGCTTTTGTGTCTATTCTGACTACACCAGAATGGGGAGAGAGTTTGGGGGAGATTTTTTTAAACTCTGCCAGGGAATAATTTGTTCAAATGAATAGACCTATTCAGCTGCTGGAGTGCTTTGCTAATTGTGTTCAAAAGAATAAAAGCAAACCACAAGCTGCTTTCAGCAGCCGGAAAAAAACGGGTTCACATGCCAGCTTATTAACAAGATGAATTCTATTAGTAAAACATATTTAGGATTTTTGAGACCAGCTCATCACCCCATGGAAATAATGAAATGTTCTCCG